TGAAGTGGCTCTTACAGTCTCATGTTTAATTGCAAGTTGTAAAAGATGTTGGGCGGTGGCTAATCAAAAACAACAGGAAGGCTAATTGAAGGCCACGTTCGACAAAACACTGCACAGCTAACTTACTATACTAACTAACTAAGCCAAACTCCAGGTCAGACTGGAAAAGTATTGCCAAAATAAGCATTTCTTGGAAATAAATGCTTGTACATCTACAGGTCTGTGTAAAAACTAAATAATAGGCTAGTTTACTGGACTACAAGTACTTCATTGATCAGATTAACAAACTTAACAAGAAAGGAATGCTAGAGTCGAGCGGGCTTAACTTTTATATACCCTGTACCCACTCCCAATAAATATTAAAATATAAGAATTAAAATTATAATTAAAATATTAAAAACAAGTAAAAAAGCTAAAGTCGGGTGTCCCGACTTTGAAATACTCTGTACATTGTTTACAATAATTATAGAAAATAAAATAAAATTAAGAAAATTAAAAAAAAAAAATGTGATCGATTTTACCTTTCTCGGTATTCGAACTCACGTAAAGGGTGTATAATTGCACATTTACATAGCAATTGCGTCTGTGTGAGTGTATGTAAGCCTATGTGCATCAATTCGTGTCTGTGTAAACATGTTAGCAGTCAACCAAACAGCAACATCAACAACAACCGCGGGCAGCGCTTGAACAGCGCTTGAGCAGCGCTGCAGCAGCAAATATATTTATCGCCATAACTTCTTGTTAAATCGGTCTATCCTAGTGAAACTTGGCACACGGACACATAATAATCAACTGGGGGTATTTCCAAAATTTTAGTTCGAAATTCCAAGAATTACGGGAGTTAGAGAAATCGCTGCATTCAGGATTCTTTGGAGTTACAAGAGGAATAATACACAAGGAACAAACCAACAGGGGAATAAGCAAGAAGAGAATTGAGACAAGTCCACTAAGGAGACCTAGATAGAAGAGTGCAGAAATACTTGTAGTGCTAAAGACAGTTTACAAATTCTCATCAGAGCATCCAATTTAATTTGGGAACTATAGTTTCTTTTCCAGCCCGAGCCAAAAAATAATAAGTATATAATCAGATTATATAATAAGTATGAGTATGAGTTTAAGGCTACGTCGCTATTGAGTAAGTCTTATCTAAGAATGCTTCATCAAAACAACTCTGTTGGACATTTTTTCTACGGATAAAAATTATTTCAATAAAACCCACACACCCAAGCACATAGCTTAGAATTTAAAACTGTTGTTAAGTATATAATCAGATTATATAATAAGTATGAGTATGATTTTAAGGCTACGTCGCTATTTAGTAAGTCTTTTCTAAGAATGCTTCATCAGAACAACTCTGTTGGACATTTTTTCTACAGATAAAAATTATTTCAATAAAACCCACGCACCCAAGCACATAGCTTAGAATTTAAAACTGTTGACGGTTATACTTCCAACCAAATTCACACAGATATGGAAGAAACATCATTACAAATTTTTCACTTTTAAAGCTGCCTATTACTATTACTAGCTATGTTCGTTCCTCCAAGCAATTTAACAGCCATAAACTATTTTTACTGCTCATCTTATGAATATTTCCACACCGCAGGCCTCGCAGATGAGCAGCATCCATCTCATACAATCTAATCAAAGCAACTTTACGATCTACTCACGCTCGTGTCATAAGCAATGCTAGGCTACACGGCTTTTACCACTTAGTATCTAACGTCTAACAGTTAAAGCCATATAAATATTTTCGTGTCAAGTACACCTGCTGTCAGATACAACGTCAAGAAGAAAGAGAACAACTCCCAGCACCAAACAGAAGTGTACTTAGCGCCGCAAAACCCATTTCAATTTCATTTTCATATCAGCAGTTTGATTTATTGAGGCGCAAATGTAAAAAGAGCTCGACAACATCATTCTGGTTAAGACCCATGACGCAAGTCGCACTTAAAGAGCAGATGATAAGCACGCACCAAAATGGTCTAAAGTGACAGCGAATAAAACGTTAATGAGTGTGTGAGGAAAAACCGAGGCAAGAAAATGTCAACGAGACGCGCGAACGCGAACCTCTTTTTACATCGAGAAATGAAAATGGATGGAAACGATGGAAAAAAGAATTTCAACTAACATGTGCGGAGTCAGAGTCAGCCAAGTGTGCAACTTACACTCGACAGCAAAAAGGCGGACTGCGAACACTGCACAACATACATGCAACACACTCACACACACGCACACTTCTACACAGTCCCCGGCACAGACAGAGGACGCATGCGCAGCCTTTTAAACACCAGAGATATGCGACGCAACAGCACGCAAAAGGCCACTTATCCAAAAAAAAGTATATACTTAAATATATACAAGTATATATATATATATATATATATATTTATATCGCACACTGCATCAAAGCCCAGCATGTTGACCGAGATGGCCTGTTCGAGTGAGAAAAAGATGCTTTAATAGATTAAGAACCCCGCTGCCAACACCGCCACCGCTGCACAGTGACGCATCGGCATGGGTGTAGTGAACAAAAACAAGCAGAAGGTTAAAATGTCGGACCGACTCTTGAACACCCTTGTCGCCCCCGACAGCCATAAACGCTGTTGTATCAATGAATCCTATGGTAGCTATTTGATATAGCTAACAGATATGAGTTCGGATTCTGATGAGGCACCATAAAAAAAATAAATATCAAATCAAGAGAAATAGAAAAGTTTTTAGGACTAGAAGTGATTTTTTATCTATCTATTCATATTTATATGAAACTTCAGTTTCAAACTCTTAAAAATCTAATTTCAGTTGCGATATCGTAATAAACCATTAAGTTGTTGGTACTAAGATTGATTTTTGCACCGATAGTTTCTACGGTAGTTACATTGAACTCGTATAAGTCTGCGTTGATGGAACTTAAAATTATGATGAGGCACTATAAAATTACTTAAGTACCAATTACCAAACAAGGTTCCAATATCCTAATAAACAACAGTAATTGCTACGAAGATTCGTTATCTCGATAAAACGTCAGATTATTAAATGGCACTTCACAATACATTAAATAAAACCAATTACAGAAAATAACAAATATATATAACAAACAAATGTATATAAAGTAATGAGGCTACCTATAGTTTTTAATGAACTTGCTATGTATATGGATAAGACAAGTCTACATACCAAGCTTGGTGCTGCTTGTTTAAATAGTTCTCTGCGTTCATACAGACGAACTTGTCTTCAATATGAATATCGGCTTATCTCATCTGATCATATACCTACGAGTATGTACCTGTTACATAAAGGCTTCCTTTTTTGGCGTTTGGACATTCAGTTACAAAATCAACTCTTGGTTTTCTTAATGATTAATTTTTTGGAAGACCAAAAACAAAAATAACAAGCAATTCCTCTAAGATTTCTGAAGAAAACTTAATAAATAAAAAAAAAAAAAACAAAACATTTGTTAATATACTAATAATTTATCACTTATAGTATAAAGCAATTTCTATTCTGCATAGCATTCAATTATATTTAATTTTGCTTACCGAAACGACTGTGTTGGTATTATACGTTATATAAATAAGTTTATGTGCATCTAATATTGTTTGCTTTGGACTGTATTTTAATGTTTGAACAGATGGGGTAATACTAAAATTCAAGGCGAAGAAGCAATTGAATGCCGGTGTTAGTAATCATTACAATCAAATATTAAAGATTAATATTGCTACGTATTCCCCAACAAAGAAATGTTATATAAACAAAACAAACAAACAAAAATTTAATATAGCGATCTGAATGACTTTTGTAATAGGTATTTTTGTAGAAAATTATTTTCTAGTTTTTATACCTTAATATATATTAATATTAATATATGTATATGTGTATAGAATTAGATTTAAGCAGTGATGTAGAATTATACTCTCAGCTGTACATACCACAACAGATATATCTAAATGACTATATGATAAATTTGCAAATCATTAAGAATGCTGATAACCCGAGAGCTTACTGTTTTTGTCGTTTATAAAACTCATTAAAACATCAATTTTTTACCCGATATAAAGAATTAGAATAGAAAGCATTCCATTTATTAAATTTTATATTTTAACTGCTATTTAAAAAACCATTTCACGAAGCACGCACAGGTTCGGTAATAGATTTTTTATCGAACCGAATCTGCGGAACGACCCACTGTGCGTCTTCTCTTGCACCCTGCATTGTTGCATTATCAGATAAAAGTTACGCGCGTGTTGATTGAAGGAGGAGAGGAGGAGAGTGGGGCGCGCAGAAGGAGCTTCCTATCGATTACCCAACCGACTACGGAATGGGTCGGGATCTGACGAGGCGTTGCATATTTTGCGACAACGACTATTTTTAAATTGCTTGCCCTAAATGGACAAGTCATTAAGCTGTCCCTTCGCACTCGCTGGCATATAAATAGCAATAGCCAAGTGAATACAATAAATACAAAAACAAAAACAAGCACTGGCATTTCCATATGTGTACGTGTGTGTACTCGTATGTGTGTTCGCCTGTTGACCGCTGGATGACTGGATGGCTCTCTGGACTGTCATTAATGGCGCCCACAAAACAAAAAGTACAGCTAAGCAACAAACAAGTTTCGTTTCTCGCACGCCCCAAAATTGTGGTCTGGCCGGTCGGATTGGACTTCTTCTATGAAGTGTCAGTCGATCAACAGACGGACTCGCGGACTCTGAAATTAAGTGACTTTACGGCTACCATCACAAAGCAATTTTACCCGCAGGCTACTCGACTGCAATTAGCCAAGAAAATACCATTGAGAGAGACTTATATATACTTGTATATGAAGAGAGGCAGTTGGGCGAATTTATTCAGTTCCCAGGCACTTTTTCTCTACCTTCTACTTCGGAACACCCCACGCTTATCTTTCACGCAGTCTCTCACGCGCATCTACTCGTAGATAAGTTGTGGCATTGAAGTAGCTTTATTTCCAAGCCTCTAATCATGCAGAGTTGATTACCCACCATTTGCAATTAGTATTATGAGAATCGCAGAGAACAGCGCTGGCTTGGTGCGAAGATTGGCCTGGAAAGGCGTCAGCAGAGTCGCTTTCAAGTTTGAGGTTGTGTTTGCCTGAAAAAGAAACCACGAAATTAACACCAATTGTTATAACACGAACAAAAACAACATTTAGGACGAACAACACGTAGGATGCACAATTTTTGGGACAAACAACAACTTTAAAACGAAACACAACATGAAAGAAATGTATTTTTTCTTTAATCTTACAACTTAACTTACTTATATTTTACTGAAATTATTGAACTTTATTCCCGACATATAGCTCAAATCGGGGAAGAAATACTAGTTTTCGCAAAAATATAAATCTATTAGAACAAACTCCTCCAATTTAGAAAATTTAGGTGGCTACAATAGTAGCACATGAGAAGCGCGAATGAGTAGGAGGTTTTTAATACGTTTATTAATTAATTATCTTTATATAATTGATCTCATTAAGTCAGCTAGCTTAATAACATAACATGTCTATTGCACAGCAAAAACGTGAATTCCTTATTAATATAAACTCAAATAAGATCCCGAAAAAAACGCAACTGCCAAGACGATGCATGAAAATTACTGTTTGCTTATGGCTAAGATTTCTACCAATGTGCATGTAGCTGCACATTTTGATATTCAGAAAGACGTTTCGATACATTGAAGCAAAATGCGTAAGTTTAATAGTTCATCTTAAATAAAAACATCAATGAAAAATATCACTTTGTTCGCGAAATGAACTGCTTTCATAAACTTAATTGTTTTCAGGTTTACGTAATATGTAGACTGATTGTAAAGAACACAAAAATACTTATTATGAGCCCTTACGTATCTTTTGCGTACAAAGATTTCGTGCTTAGGAAAAATCATACTTGCTCCAAAATTCTGATTCTTATATTATTTAATGTATTAGTAAAGATTTTCAAGTTTGTATGCAAGTTATCTGATCAATATTAAGTCCAGCTTTTAAGTGGTTCCTGTTACATTCTATGTCTATTTATGTTTGGTATACCTCCCATACTATCCAAAAAAGCATCCATACTTAAGCAGGCCATACTGTGGTGTTGGTGGATAGTCAGTTTGAGCGTTAACCTAAATTGAATATTACTTCTAAGGCGGGAGGAAATTTAGACGGCTCTTTCAAATGTAATGAAGTTGAAAATCACAAAATGTGATAGTAATGTATAGCTATGAGCTAATAATTCGAGGTGGTTTTGGAAAATTCGTACTCCAAAAGTGAAAAAGAGGCTCCAACGTTTGCATGAAAAGTCAGTATTCTTCATCCAATTCTAAGCAAGCTAAGTAAGAATACAACAGAAGAAGCATTCACCTTTTGTAAACTTTAAGCCCCATTTCGGAAAACTCGTCCTCCAAAGTGGGGAAATTACGCTCCAAATAAATTTTATTCACAGTGTTTTAATTTTAATTTTTTTACGATCTTAACATTTTTCTTATTTTACATACGTATTGTACATTTTAAACATAATTAGAGCTATATACAACTGGACATTCATGGATTTTCGTTGTTTTTATTCCTTTGACAGTTTCTTTACTCCTAAAAATTTGCGTTTTGTAAAGATTTAAATATTACTTTGAATATTTGAATGTAATCTAAAATCAATCAAATCTAGAAAATCCTTAACTAAACAAATTAATATGCTTTATTTAGTCAACTATCACGCAAGTGGCCAACTGGGAAGGTTTTCCTTGGTCAGTCTGAAATTGCAGAGGCACCTGTCTGCTGCCTTCTCATTCAATGTCTGGGCCATAAATAAATTTAAATACAATTTATTTCTTCTCTTGTCAAGTTAATTTTCACCCTTGATATAAATTTTCATTTACTTTACAGTATTTTCTTATTGTTTTTGTTGGTCTTATTGTTTGTCTGCCTTTTGGCTTTTGTTTTGTTATTCCCATTGTTAGCTGCTCAGTGTGTGTTCGTTTTATTCAATATTCAAAAACTGCATTTCATTTTGATATTGTGAGTTATTTTTATACACATTTTTGCTACGCTTTGTGTGAAAATTGTAGCATCATGATGTGCATGCCAGTCGTAGCATGAAAATATTTCGTTGTAAGTAAAATGGGGGACGGGGGAAGAGTAGATGGATGGCCAGTCGGACATGCCTCGACATGAAGGCATGCGGTAAATTCACAAAGCCAACAAAATTTAAACACGCAAGTGATGTGTAATAATTAAATGAAACGAAAGTAAAAAGTTTGAAGAGGCGTTAAGGGAACTTTAAAATATTTAAAATATTGCTTTCTAAATAAAAAGTCAATTTGTTTATCATTCCGTGCCTTGCCTTCACTTCGAACTAGCAATGTAGAGCAACTAATTAACTATTAAAGAACAACTCAATAGTTCTAGGTCATAATCAATTTGTGGGAAATGATACAGCAAATAAAAGGAAGAGTAAAGGATTGGTAAACGTGAAGTCATGCGAATTTAAAAAATACCAACATTCTAATTAACAAATTGAACAAAAAGAGTTAACAAATGGGGAATATCGATTATACCTCTTCTGCATTCAATAGACTATAACTTTCTTAACAAGACTATCACGATGAAACTTAACTTAAGGACACATTGGCTCTAGCCGGATGCTATTACCAAGTTTGATTTGAAAAATTTAAAGAATTAAGAGAGTTATGAGAAATCAAGTAGTAGTGGAATGGGATTTGGTAGGACAATTTTGTACATTTGTACTGCGCTATATGTACAAATAGACAGATTGTCGATCGAGGAGATATAATAGAACTTCTATTATAGAAGCTTAAATTTAAATTACCATTAAAAATCCAATATTGCGGTTAACTCGCTTTATTATATTAATTTTATTTTATTTTTTAACTCTCAAACAATTCAAGCAACGTCTAGGTGTGGTTGCTTCTAAAACATGAAAACTTTGCTTGGAATAACTGTACTTTCTTTTTAGGCTATCATTTGAATTTTATATTTTCTTTCACTTTATTTCGTATCTACAATTCGAAAGGAAATTGAAGCTTGGGAGAGCAGTACTGAAAATTCTAGTCTCAAATTTCCCCATTAATGCAAATATGTATCTGTCATGTAAATATCTTTCTCTATGTTGCAGCTAATCAAGGTGTCATCACATTAATTAAAAATTTTCTACATTTTATCCTTTACCTCTAATTGTGGAGAAATAGTAAGAATGGGGGAGCCTGCATATAAATTTTAGTGACTCTAGCTGTCTTACTTTTCCAGACAAACAAAGATGCAGACCGACAGGCAGCTTTCCCAGATACTGACGTTCAGCAGCAACAACGCTACAGATGTACAAACAAATGTTCCTTTTGAATGCTTCTGAAAATTGTTCCCATATCTGCAGCTAAACAGCTATCCTTTATGCAAGTATTCAACATTTTCTGTATTTTATCTTTCAACCTGCAATTATAAATGTTGGGCACGTCCCGCAAAGTGTACGAGTATGCAAATTATTATGTCATTTCATCCCAACTTGTAATTAAGAGTCTTTATGAATTTATTTTGTGTCCATTTCATTTAATCTGCTTTTAACTTTTAGCTCGTACAACATTTTCCTCTGCACAACGAATTGCTTTATACGTGTATTTACAATTATTATGTAACTTTCAATGTTCGGCAAACAATGCCGGGCTTCGTTTGTTGCAACTAATTGCAAATGGCTAGACAACAACAGCAACACAAAAGACCGCCAACTCTAGCGCCCAAGCAACGACCTTTATGAAATACAGAAACACAGAAATACAGAAAAACAAAAATACAGAAATATAGTAATAATAAAAATTTCATTGTGCAAACAAAAGCTGGCCAGTGCCATCTATGGGCGCTCTTTTTACCTCCCTATCGCGCCACGTACCGCCCTCCCGTCTGACTCTTTTTTTGGAGATTGTGTTTGTTGTTGTTTCTAGATTTTTCGTTATGAACGCTTAATTGCTTTGGACTTTTTTGTTTTGGTTGTTGTTTGTAGTTCCTTCCTTGTCGCGGCTATTGCTGAACTTTTGAACTCTCAAGGTAACAACAGCAGCAGAGGAGCAACAACGACCGGATAAATATTTAATTTCCACGAAAAAAAGGCAACAACAACAACAGCAACAATTGCCAGCATACTGGTCGTTCGTCTTAGACCGTCGCACAATGGATCGGATCGTTCAAACAAGATGCATTGCTAAAATATATTTTACGATAGAGAAAAAATGTGTCCACTTCAACATGGGTTAATTCTTAATGTATTGACTACACTCGTTAATACTGGGGCTTATTGGAAGTGTGGGAGTGCCCTTCTACTTATGTCAATTCTTAATAGTGCTAATAATCTGGTTTATTTTACAATTTTTTGTTCTTGATACAGACGAAAATACAATTAATTATAATGTATTTTTCAATTTAGCTTTCAAATCGTAGAGATTAGTGGTGATGAGAAATGCGTCGTAAAACGATCCTGACGTGAGCACACCAAGACTGATAACCAGGAAGGATTTCTTAAGCATTTGTTGGGACTGGAAGGGGATCATCCATACTATGAGCTGCCAAGTTGGAAGCTACCCCAAATGGCCATCCGAACAGCGCCAGACCATACACATCAATAATCACTTGCAGGAAACTAACTAACAGGAAATAACTATTTGGTAAATTAATTAAATTATGACTAAATAATTATAATTGAATTCTTGTTTCTTTCAGAAAGTTATGACTTTTTCAACGAAAAGTTTCCATATGGACCACTGTGCACAGTTTTCTGTCTGTTTGCATGTTTGTCCGCTTGCGTTATTATCTTTTAATAATATCTTTGCAGAATAATTATCCAAACTCGCTTAAGTAACAGCAACAGCAACAACAACAACAATAGCAAATGCTCAGAAGAACAAACTCGTGAATTTAATTACCACGCACGAGGTGAGCTCCCAAAATGAAGCGATAAAACTGGTAGTTAGGTAGCAGTAAGGGAGTAAAGGGTCTGGGCGATTTCGCCGCCTGCGGCTCAAAATTGACGGGCATTATGCAAAAAAATATAAAGAAAATAACAACTGAGGGCGGCTTACATGACGCATACTTAACATT